CTGTTGAATCGTATTTATCATGTTCGGAATCACTAGGAAATATCATTGCTCTGTGTTCAGCTTACCGCTTCGTCCAGGATTTTGCCATTGCTGGACAACACCGAAGCCTAAGAGTAAAACTGCAAGTTATAGCGATTTTTTCCATGATTATTTTGTCTGTTTATAATTGTGATTACATGGGATTATCATTTTGCAGAATTGCTAAATGAAGTGATCCGACCTTTGAGACGAAGTGATAAAGGCGGTGGATGGAATGTGCTGGTGGTGGATCGTCTGGCAATGCGAATGCTCAGTGCATGTTGTAAAATGCATGATATTATGGATGAGGGAATCACAATTGTTGAAGATATCAGCAAACGTCGAGAACCACTAACTGTAAGTTAAGCTAGTGAGTTGGTTGGGAAGGGGTTACTGCATAGATTCGGTTCTGGTCGATGAAAGAATGATTAAAATTTGTTTATCCGAACCTAACTAACTATTTTAACTACTAATTGACCAGCTAAATAGCTAGTTAGGTTCAGACAAGCAGAAGTGGACTAAATACGTTCACGATTTAATGGCATTACTTCCAGTGTTTTCATTAATTGTCAAAATTCGATTGTGTTCCTCTCCACGCTGGTTGGCCAACAACACCAAACAAACTGCATATGTTAACGCATAGACGCGATTTCAGGCCCTCGTCCTCTTCCAATCTCCTAGCCAGAGATATTCATTGTTTATATCTTTAAAATTTCTGCAATACTTAATGGACTATTTGTTATTTAGGCAAATCTGTAAAAGTGTTGAATTTTTTTTCAGAGTTTGGACGCGATATATTTGATTGCCCCAACGCGAGATTCTGTTGAAAAGCTAATTACAGATTTTATGCATGGGCGTAATCAGTACAAATGTGCACACGTATTCTTCACCGAAGGTTTCTCTTTTGATCTTTGATATTTTAAGACTTTCTGGATTAGAAAGGAAAATCTATGAATTTTCATCTATGTATATTTTTCCGACTAGAAAGGAAGATTTATCTGCCTGTGCGTATTTTTTATGAATGAATGGTACCAGCCGAAAAAGGGGACACAAATTAGGACGATTTTTGAAGAAGTAGCGCTGGTAGTTTTGAGAAGTGTACGTAATTATGTATGTATGTATGTATATGTGTATGTGTGTGTGCGTGTGTGTATGTATGTATGTGTGTATGTATGTATTATGAATGTATGTATGTATGTATGTATGTATGTATGTATGTATGTATGTATGTATGTATGTATGTATGTATATATAGGTAGGTATGTATGCAGGTATGTATCCGTATGTTTGGCGATATGGCAGAGTGACAAGTACTGCAGGAGGTCAAAGTTTCGACTTCGCCATTGGAATTACCAATCCCTCTAAAAGTCGTTCATTCGTTTGGATGGTAAATTGGCACCACCCGCATTTTATGAAGCCAAAATGCCATTAGCTTGGTTCTAAGCAATTCATGAAAAAGGAGTCCATAGACTAGTACCATCAGTCAGGGTATTTTCGAGTGCCCCTGGGGTTGGAAGTGAGGGGAGGGAACTAGGGGACTGAAGTAAATGTTAGTGAGGTCTTTCTAAATCTCAGCAATCTCAAGAGTTCTGGTCAGATAGTTTCATGGGACTGTAATGATGGTATGATACTGATAAATAATTTCAGCATGCCCCGATCAGTTGTTTTCGATATTATCAAAAAGCAGCGCGGCAAAATTTATCAAAACACTAAAAGAAATAAACATTGCTTTCACACCATATGAATCACAGGTATGGTTGAAAAATCTTTTATTTTTTGTTGATAAAAAAATTAAGGAAAATTGTTTATGCGTATTTTTGCAATGTACAAGCAAATTTTTGGATTTCGATTTTTTCAGTAAATTTGGTTGCGAAGATTATTTTTTGACGAAAGTCTAGGTCCCTCCTCCCTCTTTCCCACTCCGCAGCAGAGGTACTAGTGCTACAAAAGTCTGGGTCTAAAGTTAAAACTAAGGAAAACTCTCTTCCGCATCCCCACGTCGCCTCCTTCCCCCCCCCCCCCCCCCCCCCCCCCCCCC